AGGGCTCGGAGCTATATACCACTTTGCTTGAAGGGAAGGTAAGTAAGCTATGTTAAGAGAGAAGTGGTTCGGCTCCCGGCTCTATTGGATCCTCAATTTTTTTTAAATGATAATAAATAAGTCATATTTTGAAGTTTCAGAAAATTCAGAAAAAATCCGACATATACACCAAGATTTGATCTACATACCTGTAAAATTTGACTGATAAATTCATTTGTTTTTTGCATCGGCTGTATGATATCTGAAGAGGGTGAAATTAAGGTTGTGAAACAAAAGTGAATTGTACTCCCTCCGTTCCAAAATAAGTGTCGTGGTTTTAGTTCAAACTAAAACTGCAACACTTTTTTTTGGAACGAAGGGAGTATTAATAGATTACATGATAGCTGAGTTACTTTAGCATCTCTGCAGGGTGGTTTACAAACTCTCTTGAAATATATTAAGGATAAGGACAATGATAGACTCTCCGTAGCGCTTGCTTCTTCTCTTGATACTATTGCTGAATTGGAGCTGTTGCAGGTTAGTAGAGTAAACATAGAACCATTTGTTTCAAGAAACTGAGAGCAGACTAATTCTGCTCCATTGAAGGTCTGATTACTTAAAGGGATTTTATTTTCTTTCTACAGGCTCCAGGCTTATCCTTTCTCTTACCTAAACAGTATTTAGAGTATCCAAGGTGATTTTCTGTTGGCGTCTCTAGTCTCCAAATGCATTTCATGTCATTTCTGTGATCAATTTATGTATGTAGACAAGTTTTCATGCTTCATTTCATAATCACCAGCAATTCTAGATCCAACAACTGCCGCGAGTGTGGAACACTTGCAGGTCTGAAGATTAAAACTGATATGGAATTTGATCGTTCAGGACATAGAAAACCATGTAGTTCTTTCGTTAGGGTAAGACTTGATCATAAGAGAAACAAGTTAAACACTTATCTGCCAGAGCTGCTTGAGAAATAGGCATTTACTTTTATCGTAGTGCTGAATATTCACTAGAAAAGGGAATCACTGTAGGCAGCTAAAAGTTTATCAATATCCGGACGCTGGTTGGTTATTGCGTCCGCTTCCTCGCTTATATTTAATTCTCCGAGTAGAAATTCTCAGACACAAACACTTACCTCCTACTTCCTAATATGTAAGCCCCAAACAAATTTTGAGCCTAGGATCACGAATTTGAGTAATAAAATATGAGAAACAGTTGATACGGCACATGCCCGTTTGATTTTTTTATTTTACTATCAGGAAATGGCAAGAGAAAAAAACACCTTACTTTCTATAATATTTTCTCTACTCTTATAAAAAACAGAGTTGGTGATGATGGTGTGCCTGTCATCCTGCAATATAGGCCGTCCGTTATATCTGACGGATAGGAATGAAACTATGGCAATTTTGCAAAAAGATACCCACACCCCTCTCCACATTTGCAAATAAGGCCTTCCCTCGTTCATCCTTTTCTCTCGCAAGATAAACTACTCATACAAATGCATCTTGATGTTATGTGCAACGCACGGGCATCTTGCTAACAGAGTTGGTGATGATGGTGTGCCTGCCATCCTGCAATATAGGCCGTCCGATTTATATCTGACGGATAGGAAGGAAACTATGGCAATTTTGCAAAAAGATACCCACACCCCTCTCCACATTTGCAAATAAGGCCTTCCCTCGTTCATCCTTTTCTCCCACAAGAAAAACTACTCATACAAATGCATCTTGATGTTCCGTGCAACGCACGGGCATCTTACTAGTAAAATGATAAATTCCAGGTTGGTACCAAGCGGTCAGAACATCAGCCAAATAATTTTCCTTTGAAATTCCTGAGGCACCATAAGAAAAAATTGATCGCTTATGATTAGTTAATGCATAAGCTATACAATATGTGCAGATTAGTAACAACGGATTCTGCAACTATAATGGTGGTTTTGCATTTTATAATCCTCAGGGCGCTGGGACGCTAATACTAGTTGTTTGGTTTTTCGCCTGATCTGTAAAAAGATACATGTACGAAATTTAATTTAAATGACTTGTCATTTATAGGCTAACAGGAAGAGCAGTTGTTGAATTCACAGTTGAGAAAGGTGATGGCTCAACATTCTTTCCAACTGCTGGTGGTGAACCCAAAAGTGCTGCTACAATTCAGGTAGCTGTTTGCCTGATTGTGATATCATAAACAGTTGAGTCAACATCTTGCTACCTTATCAATATGTATGCCAAGATAATGGCGGAGGTCTCCTTTTCCCTTTGCTGTCAGTTTCTACAATCACTTGTGAAATGTTTTAGTGGGTACTTGATAGCCAGGCATCCTCAAGTACACTCTTATAACAATGATAAATAGGAACCATAACCTGGATAATGCCATGTAGACTTCGGGAGCATACACTAACTTTTCAGTTCTTTTTTCCGAAAGAAGTCTCATGTCATGACTTGGTAGTTTAGTTTGTACTACATAC